ACCTGATGTGGACACAACAGCAAACTTACCTGCATATCTAACTCATGACATCGCTGGGCAATTTCTTCTTTTGTTGCTAGTGCTTCATTTAGTTCTTCTGTAGTTTTCTTCAGCTACCATAAACAATAAACATTTACATTTTGATCACTGTGTGATCCATGTAAAAGCATTCTGAACTACAAGACTGTAAAATTGACATTTAGGTAATATATTAATTTTTTGATAAGCTGAGATAATTCCACTCTTCATAAAGAAAATAGAGCAGATATGATTACTGTTTACTTTGTACAATAGTAAAAAATAAAAGTACTTAAAAGTAGTATTTACTCTTACATTAGAATTATCACATCTATTCTATAAATTAAGCAAAAAACTGAAGAACTTGGGTCTGAAGAACTCATCAAATCTCTACACTGAAAAAAACTGTCAAAACCACTTTTCTTTACAGGTGCAAAGACTGCGTAATTTCAATTTTCAATCTACTTTTGAAATACAGGAAGGATGGAAGGTGGAATTCAGGGAATGGACAATTAGGGTAAAATCTCTCTAGTCACTGGAAGCTACTCTTAGCGCACAACAATACAACGAACACGGTGACAGAGAAGCCCTTGTGGAAAAGGGCACCGAGCCTTGTAAGCAGTGGGAAAAATGAAGGTACTTCCCTTCAAAGGCTCGATGTTCAAAGATATGTATCTTACCAGCTTGCAAACTAATGCAGTTCAGGTTAAGATAAAAAATACAGCTACAAGAAAACTGGTCTGATGCAATAGGTCCATGAATGTCATGTGTACATACTATTATATACGACGGAGTTTAAATGGGCTTTCTCAAACCACATCATCACATCTTGTGTTTGCAAGTTCTGCAGAGAAAGCATGATGGAGGAACACAGGGAACACTACTGTACTATACTGCTCAATTAAAAAAAAACCTGAGGAAGCAGGGCAGTGTTATAGCTAGTAAAAAGTAATTGGTTTTGCATATTCTTTAAATATATCAGACAAGCAAGGATTATATTACATACTGTAACAGTTCCAGGATCCCCACAGATGTGGTTTTTTTAAAAAAACTGACTTTGGAAGTAGAAACTCACATAGAAATTTTATTCAAATACTACACATTTTTTCATCCTCCTTTCTCAGTACTTAAAGATTTGTACTCATCTGCAGTTTTGCTTTATTATGTCATACAGCTCGACCGGTTTTCCAAATATTTCTTTTATTTCCATTAAATACACAGTGAGAGTAAACTCAATTTATAAAGCAAAAGGACTTGAAATATTGAAATTTGGTTTTCCATTCCTTATTTGACTTTCCCACAAAACCCTTTAATGACTCAAGAAAAAAAAGACAGAACTCTTAATAAAGGAAAATGACTGGCCATTTATGTGCTATGATTGAAGGAAAAGAAACATCTCATCTCAGATACCTGCCGATCAAGGTCAACGTAAGCATCATTTCCAACAGAGACTGGAGACTCTTTACTCATCAACTGCAATTAGATTACACTGGATTAGAAAAAGCAAGTATTTACTTTAATATTAAAAGCTAAGCTTCAATGAAATACCAATCTGATTTTCACTTTTGGGAGCTTTAATTTGACTTCATTTGAAGGTTTTAACTTCATTTTTATATATGACATATTCAGAAACAAGGACAGAAAAATCTTCATAGTTTATAATATTTAAAATGCTATAAAAGAAACCTTACATCACCTCTTTTTCTTCTGACCATGCACACTCTTTATCTATGATGAAGCCTACCATACACTCCACTAAATATTTTACTGAAGTGTCACTGGAATGACCACACCATGCAAGACCTGCCTTTGACTGATCTCTGCTAGTGGTTTTCAGGTTTGCATTACCTGTAAGTTCACATCAAATTATTTATTTATTTCACTAAAATCCAGAACATATCTATCACAGCTAAATGTAAAAAACAAAGACGATCAAAATTCTGCTCTGGAGTTGTCTGTAATTTTCATATTTAAAAAGAAAGTCTGTAGAGTGCATTCCTAAAATGAGTGTCACAATTCCTTGTGTACTAACCTATTTTACTGCAGGAATAGTTGACAGTGGCTTTGCCCTAGTAAATTTAATTTTTTTTAAAAAAAACACAACCAAATAAACCCACAACACAAAACCCAAGTCAAATCCTATAAAATTGACTGATGTGCTTATTAAAAGAAAAATAAAAAGCTCACAAGAAAATGTTTTCTTTTAGTAACATAATGATCAGCTGCATAGGTACTTAAAAGTGAAATCAAATCTAGCAGAAATTATAACTCAAAGACCGCCTCCCACACACCTCAAGAAAACATATTAAACTGAAACCTGTAAGACACAAAAAAGAACAGTCTTGCAAATAACAAATATACTGTAACTAAATCAAAAGGCATCATTACAGAACAGCACCGATAGTTTGTGTCATCCCGACCAAACACAAAGTTTTTAAGAGCTCTCCAATGACATGATTCATGGAAGTCACAATCAAAAAGACCCTAACCTGATCAAAATTAGGACAATTTTTTTTCCCCCTATCATCTCCTGTCCAACCTGTTCACTCTCTCCAGAGAAATGGCTTCCTTGATTAATTCCAGAAACCTGTGCTTTTGCATTACTTTTCCTTGGCATAGTTTTTGGAGTACACAGCACAGAGACTTTGCTTCTTCTCAATCCTTTGTGTATATACCACTGTGTACAAGCGAAATGTCTCTGTTGGACATTTACATCATTCACATCTTTATACACTTACATTTCCCTCCTTGGAAACTCCCTAGTTTCAGAGCTGTCTCCTGAAAAATGAGGTCACATGTCTTTTTCATCACCATACAGTGGCATTACAAACTTGTCTTTAACTTAGGACCCCGTTGTCTAAGCTGATTATCATTTAAACAAAAACTTCCAAATCTCCCTGCTCTGTGATGGTCACGCACATTTCAATTACTGTATTTCATCAGCTACTATTAAAATGCTTTTCCAGGTGACTAACTGTAATATCCACATGAACCAAACGCTGAACTCTCCCTGTTTTATACCCCACAACACTGTTCACAAACACTCATGGAAGTTGCAGTACTTTCCAAATGGCAGACCCCACGCTGCACGCAGCCTGCGAGGGTGTACAACACATCCTTAACAGTCACCACCTCCTTCTGGCCCCAGAACAACTTCTTCAGAAAACCAGCTTAACAGGCCTGCCCAAGACTTACAGTAAAAGTAACACAAATGACCGCACAACCCACTAGAGGCCACTGTGGTGTCAAAGCTTTCTGTGAACTGCCGTAAAGGCAGCAAAGCAAGGCCAGTAGTATCATTCCTATTTCCTTCAGTAAGTTTTGCCATCTGTCTGAAAACGTCCTGTCCTTGAGAACCCTTAACAGAAAGATCCAGAAAAGAGGACATTAGACAGAGAAGAATTAGGCAGTACTGATACATGGTGTGGGTGTACCATGAATACCACACAGAACTTG